TTTTTTTTTACAACAATGCAATGTCGTCATGATGATCATCGTTTTTTCAGTAGGACTATTTTGATGTAATTTTTGTCTCTGTCCTTTAATATTCTTGAACCCTCCTCTTATTAGCAGAGGGGTTCCTAGGATTTTTTGTATGTCTCTCTTGTGCACTAATACGGTTTCACATCCGGCCCTGTAAACAGTTACCAAATTATTTAAAACTTACAATTATTCAACACTAACATGTTCTTTGATGATTTCGCTTTCATATCTGTCTCTTATACACATCTAGATGTGTATAAGAGACAGGTATATATATTATATATACAGTATTTCATTTATATTAAGTAAGTAAAAAAGATATATATGTATATATATATATAATTTATATTTAAAGTTAATGTATTGTTTTCGTAAGAAATACCATGTTTAAATATCATCTATGTTGTATATTTAATTTTAATAATACCATCTCAGCCCCAATTTTGTCTCATAAATCCATTATAATAAATACTTCTTGTTTACTGCTATTTGTTTGTAGTTAGAAGAAAATAAATGTCTTATCAACATAAATGTCGTATTAAAATAAATGTCTTATTAAATTGAATGTCTTATTGAATATCAACTTTCGCGATCTCAAAATGTATGTGAAATTGCCTTGAAGCTTTAAAAGGATAATGGAATTAATCTGAAATATATCTTTAAATTTGTATTAATTTCATTCCAATTATCTATTCAGGTTTAGCTATTTATATGTGCCGCTCTCGAAGAAATGCCGCTTTTTAATAATTACCGCATTAAAATCTCCTAAATGCTATTGGCGCTGCGAAGTTAGTGGATCATCGGTAAATAGACCCAGGCCTTTCCACGCATAACACATACATGTCTCATTGGTGCACGATGATAATACTACACAGTAGGCATTATTTAATCTCCTTTGTTTTACCAGTCAATAATGGCCACACTTGCAAGAGACAGCAAAACTCAAGTATGAAGTAAGTGATTGGAGTCACCCCCTACTTCAAAGTACCTAGTATTGCATTTTCATAGTCACATTATTAAACTGAATCAAAATAGGCCTATCCATTACATTATTATACATATATTACATTATGTATGTATTTTATTGTGTATTATATTATATATTATATGTATATATATATATATATGTCCTATATATATATATATATATATATATATATATATATGCTATATATTCTTCCTGAAATTCCATTTTTAGTGGTGAAGGGTGCGCTAACTGGGCAACAATAAAATTTATATTTATTCGAAATCACCAATTGGCAATCGGAGAATTCGCTAAACATGTTATAAAAAGTCAAAGCAAAGTTTTTTAACAAAAGATTTATAGGTGGCAGTATTTCATGTAAGTTCGTGGTGTGTGCGCAGGCGCTCTTCAAATTTACAAAATGAGCATTTCTATTTAAATAAAATCCAATAACATTAAAAAATACAATAACTAAAAATCTAAAAAATATACTACATATTAGATAATTTACACTTTATTTTTATATCATTACTACGAATAATAATTCTAATCAGGTCGGACGTCAAATTAAAATATTTGTCGCTGATTTTAGAAGAGGATAATACGATAAAACATGGCTGCACCGGCGAGAATCTCTGTTTTGGTAAGGTTTATTAAGGCGATTGTTTTATTTATTTAATTAATTTTTTGCAAGATAAGCAAATCTTGATAATTGCATAAATTAATATGCTACATTTGCATGGAATAATCTGAATATTGGCTAATCTTATGTTCCATGAATTGTAGGCTAGGCCTCGTCCTCCTACTACAACAACTAGCCTAGGCCTAGGTTAGGTAGCTAGGCTTGGCCTAGCCTAGGCTATGCTGTTTCCGAAGGCTGACCTGGCTTGGCCTAGCTAAGTCAGCTGCAAACGGAAAATGGCCACGCTTTCTTTCATATAGGCCTATGTTCAAAGCCGTACTTCTAACGAAGAAGGAGTACATTTATGATTTTAACTTAAATGTATTTTGTATAAGATGAGCCCTCCCTGCAGTGCTAGCCTAATAAATAAAATTAATCTGATCCCCCCCTTTTTTTTTTACAACAATGCAATGTCGTCATGATGATCATCGTTTTTTCAGTAGGCCTATTTTGATGTAATTTTTGTCTCTGTCCTTTAATATTCTTGAACCCTCCTCTTATTAGCAGAGGGGTTCCTAGGATTTTTTGTATGTCTCTCTTGTGCACTAATACGGTTTCACATCCGGCCCTGTAAACAGTTACCAAATTATTTAAAACTTACAATTATTCAACACTAACATGTTCTTTGATGATTTCACTTTCATATAAGCCACTTATTATTCCGTATTTACGGTTTCTAATTAAGTTAATTAACCAATAATTAGGACGGTATATCGATAGTAACACCCGATCGCTCAACACAATCAACTCTGCTTCGCTGTTACGGTACGACCACAATCGACGACTGAATGTTTCCAGGGTCTGTCATATAATTTGTGCCCAATTGTAATTTTTGTGACCAATTATTTCGCTGCATTAAGATTTTGAAAACTTGTTTTGTAGTTCGTCTCTTTGTATTACGTTTTTTTCTTGACGAGATAAAAAAAAAGCGCAAAAAGTTGAATAACATTTTGAGTGACATTCATACTGTTTCCACTTAGGCACACTTAAACTTGGTGCACTTTTTTAGGCCTACAGCTATCATGATATAATTTTGCCCTGATCCTGGCAACACTGCAAAGTTGTTGACATGTACTAGCCTACAAGCCGAATGTGTAAGATGGTACACGGCGAAGACATTAACCGTCCTAATTAATGGTTAATTAACTTAATTAGAAACCATAATTATTGGATAATAAGTTGATTATAGGAAAGTAAAATCATCAGGGAATGTATTAATATTGAATAATTGTAAGTGTTAAATAATTTAGTAACTAATTTCAGGGCCGGATGCGAAACCGTATTAGTGCCCTTTCTTGTTTGTACAAACTTTATTCGCAATGGCAATGTCTACGCTAAAATATGCAATTCCAATAGATTTGGAATGCACCACCACAAATCATCACAAAGATACACAAACTGCTTCTTACAGTCAGACCAACATTAATACTGCTAGGCTAAGCCTAGTAATCTACATCCCTTTAACTAAAAAACCCTTAAAGGATAAAACTGTTGTCATATCATATATTTTATTATTTTCTATTTGTGATATAGGCAAGAAGGCTGTCAACCTCAAGCATACGTCAGGGTCAGTTGGTTAAGGTAATTATTAATTATGAATCTTCTACTTTAACATTTTACTTTATACGTATAATATTATTCAATATATTTACCATAATTTAACATAATTTCATGTTACAAAAAAATGTTTAAAAAAACCCTTTTTTTTCATTTTTTAATAATGATCTTTAGACACCCATACAAGTGTATGGAGTCGGTGGACGATACGCCACAGCTCTATATTCAGCTGCTACAAAGGAGAAACAGCTGGATCAAGTTGATAAAGATCTCAACGATTTCCAGGTACGTTTTGCTGTATTCCATTGGCAGGGAAATATTCATGCTACGAGTAAAATGCTGCGCTGACTTCAATTCCAGCATATTTAATATACATTAAAGAATATTAGGTTTTCTACTAGATTATGCATATTAGCACTAAAACTAATGCTCTGTCCACACTATGATGTTAAAGTTTGTGTACTTGTCACCTCAATTTTGATCGTGTGGACACATCTTAAAAATGACTTAAAAAAGACAAAATATTTCTTTATTACTCAAATTTGATCTGAGCGGTTGGCCGAGAGGTATTGTTCCTGCTTCTTTTGCTGGAAACCCAGGTTTAAACCCGGCCAGCGTGGGATTTGAATGGAGTCTGATCGCTGGGCTCCTCGAATAACCCTCATATTGAGAGTTAGGCGGGTTAAGCACAATGTTTTTGACTTTGGGACTTTTTAAAATTAATTATTAATAAATAACATTAATTTTTTTGGTAGAGTTTACTGAAGAAAGATGTGAAACTAGCAGATTTTGTTGGTAATCCAATAGTAACAAAACAAGAAAAATCGGGTATGTATAAATTAATTTAGATGTTATAATAAAATACTTGTTTTTTATAATTTAAGTTAGACAATAGGGAGTTTTCGCAAGAAAACGTTCACGAATACAGTTACATCATCAAATTTTTAGACAACTCTTCCCCTACAGTAGCTTATCTATCAGAACGTACGCGATTCAAGCCTTTTACATTAATCAAGGATCATATTCAGTTCTTACAGCATATTTTCAAGTATGTTTTAGACACGAATGACGATAATGATAATGACGTACGTGTTATTGTTTTCGTAAGTTTGCAAAATTTTCGTAATGTATTGACTCCTATTTTTCATAGGAGTTTTAACAAACTGGATGAAGACCAACAAATGTTCAAAAGTCACAACCAACTTTGTTAGCATGCTAGCGGAAAATAATCGAGTGAAACAGCTGAATGAGATCTTCTCAGCGTGGAATGAAATTATGGGGGCGCACAGGGGAGAGGTCGTCTGTACCATCACAACAGCAAAAGTAAGTGTACAATGAAAGTAAAGTACAAAAAATTACAGGCAAGCCACTTCACGTCAGAGAGCAGCTTAGCTCAGTCGGCTAAACTGGTGGTAGCCACTGTGTGTGTGCTGAACCGTGAAAATCTCAGTCCTGGTTCAATTACCATCGCTGCTCTCTCTTCGTGTTTCAGCTGGAGGGCTGAAGTGCAAGTTTCAATTAATATTGCACCGTCTTTTGGTCCCATGTGCATTATGGCCAGTGTGCACGTTTTAAAGAACGCAGTACTGTGCACTCTTCTGAAAAGAGTTAGGGGATTGCCTCTCGGTGTACTGACCAATCACTACCAGAAGAACCCTACTGGAAATTATGCTTTGTGTTTACACCGAATAAATCCATCTGTCAGATCTATAAATTATACAGTGTCAGTATAGGGCTTAAAACAAAATACCCTATCATATTTGATCCAACTTTATCTGATGGAATAGCAATGTCTGACTTCAAGCAGATATGGAATGACAATTTGTTTGATCAGATATATCTCTAGCTCTGTCCAGATTATCAAATTTTCTTATATCTTATGGCTATCTTTACTTATACTCTAGCCACTAGATGCAGCCGGCCAGAAGTCTATAGAATCTGCAATGACAGGCTTCGCAAAGAAAAACCAGGTGCTTAAACTTAGCCTAAAGGTAAGTAGTTGTAATTTTCTGTAATGTATGTTGATATAGGCCTACTAGATGTGGGTCAGGGAGGAATGGGTCTTGTGCTCTTCCCTAACTGTCAAACCTTTGAATTTCATTGCTCAAATACAGTAGTTCACAATATTACCCATTCCTTTTCCCCAAGACCCCTTCTAAGGGCTTTTTGACAGCCTCTAGGATATTTAAACACTTTTAAGATACAAAGTTAAAATAATCTTTATGATACAAGTTTTCATATTTTGTATTGTTTGATTGGCCTATGACATACTATATTTGTGGTTAAGACTATGTTCTCACACGGCAGCTAACGGTTAGCAGGATCCGGATTCTACTAACCGTTAGCTGCCGTGTGTCCATGCGAGAAAATCCCGATCCGGATACCAACAATATGATGATCGATTCACTGGCCAATAAGAAACTGGAAATTGTAAACGCGTACGTGTGATTGGTTGATGATAGAAATGCCCTCAACTTGCTAACCGATAGCGCTTGCTAACCGTTAGCGTATCCGGATACCGCTAACGGTTAGCGCTAACCGATCGGGCATTCTCATGCAGGTGCTAACGGTTAGCTCCCGATCCGGATACTAGGGTTCTTGTGAGAACCAGGCTTCTATTTCAGGGAATTTAAAAATTCTATATTTAAATTTTTTTTACACCCAGGTTGATCCCTCTATCATCAGTGGAATGGTCGTGGAAGTTGGCGACAAGTATATAGACATGTCAACAGCAAGCAAAGTGAAAACAATGACAAATCTATTGAAAGAAAATATGTAGGAAAAGCAAATGGAATGGAACCCAATTCCGACAATCTTATCGCAGAAAATTGATGTATATTACGTCTAGAAAACTAAATAACTATGTAACATTACCCTAAATGTATCTTCTAAATATAACTCACAAGATAGAGCTGAATTTAGAATTTAATAGAATAATTTCCCATACCATATGTTACCTCAATACATACGTTTGCTGTGCTTGACAGTGAAATATGCTAGGTTGAAATGGTTACTGGTGTTTAAAACTTAATTAAAATTATTGAATTTAATATGAAAGTTGTCTTTGTCAATGTATAGTGTCATTTTTGTTGCTACCATGCCTTGTTACCAAGGTATACAAAGCACAACGCAAACAATTTTGTAAATTTGCGATTTTCAATGAGACTGGACAGAACAATCAGACTGTTAAAACAGTAAGCATAGACAAATTCAATGTCACAGGAATACTTGTCAACACCATGCCTACTTGTTTCAAAGGCACTCATTTTCACAACATCATCATCAATATAAATTTTCTCATGAAAGTTTTACAGGAACATACAAAACCTTGGTACTTCTTACTATGAACATAGCGATAACTAATAAAGAAACAGAGCTATTAATTAAGACCATGTTCCCTACTGTTTTTGAAAGAGTAATCTACTCTTTAAGTAAACTGGGAGAAGGGGTACCAAAGGAAAGGCCCTAGGTGCTAAGTGCCCGATGCCTAGAAAACCTGAGAAATTTTGGGTCATTTTAGCATGTATTATGCCCAAAAAATAAAAACCAAATTAGCGTTAGGCCACATCTCTTTGAAAAGGCAATCTCCTGTAATTCACATGGAGATTAGCTCACAAAGTGTTACCATCAGTTTCAACCAACTTTGCACAGTGGCGTATCTCGGAGAAACTTGAAATATGGGGGGGGGGGGATGTGCATGATCAAGTAAGGGGGTACTACCAAAAATATAAGGTGATTATTAACTACTTGAGCACGATGCTTTTGCTTCAAACATTTGCAATGGGAGAGGGGTAACTGGGGGAACAAGCTTTTTTGGGGTGTGTGGTCCCCGCTCCCCCATGATACACCATCAATTGTGCACCTCTCCTTATTGAGGATTGAAGTTTGTTGCAATAATATTCTGATAAATAAAAAAAATCAGTAGAAAGCCAAGATTACTATATTTATTGTAGTTTTGTTCTTTTATTACAGAAATTATTTTCTACAATCTCATTGTCTTTATGCTATCAGGTATTTTAATTTCAATCTGACACTATCAGTACATAAGCTTAGCATCCGATGTCAATTCATTATACCATCATGATTCACAAATGGTTATGGTATAAAATGTTCAACAAGTTTTAAGTGTTATATTTTTTATTTTATATATTCTCTGCATTATTTATCAACTGTGTTAATAATAATTATACAGGCTATACTGTACATCTGAACACTGTAAAAAAAATATGTGGTAAAAATCTGAACAAAAAAAAAAAAAAATTCACAAAATGAAATCAAAACAAGCAAATGAAACTATCATTGTATAACATTTAACAAGAGGTCATCAGTATGTGTTGTAATTTTCACAAGACTACAACTTTGCTACAACAAAATATATAGGAATGAAAATTAGTATTAACTATAACCAGTATCAATAGCCAAAACAACAAAACTGACTTTTTAATGTTTAAATGATGGGAATCAACTTTGACAAAGTTATGCGTAAAAGTATTATGGCTCCTTTGTACCAAAGATACTAGAAATATTTTTGCTCGCATAGCAAAAATACTGTTACGGCGGAAATTGGTCCAGACGTACGCGGCGCCATTCTCTTTTTATAATGCTAGTTTTCTATACAGTACTTGGTCCAGCCGTATAGGGCGCCCTTCTGTTGCTAGGTATATCCAGACGCACAAGGCGCCCTTCTTTTTCCACTAATGGAGGAAAACTTTAACACTGATCAGAGTCCGGTCATACGATTCTACGCTTTTGTGTCTGTTATTATTTTATTGTTTTGATTAATTTATGCCTACTGTTTGTATCTTATGGATAATGGCAACGATTTCAACCCCCACAAAAGGAGATTATGTATTCTCAGTTATGTAACGGTGGCTGAAGTTTTTTAGATCAAGTCGTACGCGGCGCCCCATTGTTTGTATTCTCACCATGCATTTCGGTGGAACAGTTTTTTTTCTGTGGAGAACTCTATCTTGTGTCTCCAGTATCTTTGTACTAAAGTATACTTTACTGCAACAATAGTTTAACATATAGCGACAGTAGACTGGTTTTGGAATGGCATGCATCTCAAAACAACAAGAATCATCATTTTTATGGTTGCATAAAAGAGTTTGTTTTGTACTCTCTTGAACATGGTGAAACATGGATAACTCCCTTAAGGGGATGTTAAAATGCCATTCATAAAAAAAAAAAAAAATTCCTATTAGTCTTCTTCACATCCTTCTTAAAGTTCCTACTTTTCAATTACAATTCAAACCAGCAGAATCATAAGTTGCAAGAACATGAATTTTTAGAACTTCAGAAATTTTTTAAAAAGTAATTAAATAATAGCAACAATAATACTTAACTACAAATCATATACTGTTTTTTATGTTTTTGTTTTGCTGGGTGGAATTTAAAATCTATTCTAAATAATACTAGGCTAACTCTGTACAGTTTAATGCAAAGTTTATATGAAAAAAAAGAGAAATGAAAAAGAAAAGAAAAACGATCTATATATTCCAATTTGCAGAACTCTATGATGATGTACTTAGCAGGTAAAGACATACAATTGCTTTGCAATATTGTTGAGTTGTGTTTTATAAAAAAAAAAACAAAACAAAGAAAAACAAACTATATATTCCAATTGGAGTACTCTATGATAATGTATTTAGCCGGCAAGACATACAAGTTCCTTTGCAATGCTGTTGAGCCACGAATGTTAAAAGCATACAAAAGTGCACCAAGTTTAAGATCAAAGCAACATCGAGTATAGAGACACGCATACAACATTAGCGAGCTTTTGAATGCAGACAACAGTTGGACGTAGAATGCAATGTCACATAAAGTCATCTGCGTATGCGTGAATGTCATGTTCTCGTTTTTGCGTGAATTCTATGAAGCAATTTGACCAAATCTACGTTGTGCAGAGAACGTAGGATGGTCACAAATGAGTAAATCCGTTCCAACGTTACATCTTCACATAAATCGAAAGCTCTCTATTCATTGAAAATGAAGGTGAAGATGATGATGATGATGGGGATAATGATGGTTATGGTAATGAGAATGATTATAATATAATAATGCATTACTGATATTGATAATAAAAACGAAAATATTTATGAAAAAAGAATAGTGATATTTTTTTGCATTGTCTAATTTTAAAATCAAATAAGAAATTTATAATGAAAACAATTAAACATCTTAGATAACAGAAGTTTATAAAGCGCCGATATTAAGCACAATATTTTGCACCATTCCATAATAATGAACTGTACACTTTCCAAAAACCAAAAATAAATGTCTTTAAAAAAATGAGACAATAGAGATATACATATATAGACATTTATTTTAATTTTTAAATGGTATTCCTTTCTAAATATGTTTTTAAAATGATTTTTATACATTGTATTGTGTATCTCAAAGATATACATAAGCACATGTCATACCCTATTTCTTTTTTTTTTCTTTGTACAAGTTATGACTAACGATGGATGGGAACAAACAAGAAATACAAATTAAAATGATACACTTGATTGAATTGTATATCTTTACTGCAAACACACTAAGGGCGACCCACAAATGTCTGAAGACAGTGGCGTCCTTAATCAAAACTATGGAGTAAAAATAAACCTTATTCACTCTGTTTTTGTTAACATGATTAAGAATCAAAACAAACATAAAGAAACTATATAAAATATGTAACAAAAGAACATTAAGACAGTACTGTTGTATATGTAATCAACACTAAATTAAAATAACAAAAAAAACAAAAAAAACATAAGATTTTACATAGGTAATTACAATAACAAGTTTGTTTATATAGAGGCCTTGGTAAATATTTAAGTAATTAATGATACACACTGTATATCTGTGGTTGGTGACACAGCAGCTCACTATTCATCCATAAAAATGCTAGCCTCATCCTCTCTGGATCAGTTGCAACCTTACTGTTTTCAGCCCCCAATAAAACACAGACCAACCCTGGCTGTTTCACCAGCAATGACTGCTTACAACACACATCTTGGGCCTAAGTTTAGAGGGTTAGGGAAGCTGGCCATTGTCATGTCTGGTCAAAGAGGATGAGGTCAAACTTGACCACCACTTCGCCCGTTGACACCTCATGTAGTAATAGCCGTTTAGTGACCGGTCCTTTTCCAAGATTCTCCTTTTTGATGTCAGCAATTCGAACTTCCGTCCGTCCAAGAAAATCTAACGTGGTAAAAACATACAATTAAATTAAAAATCATTATTTAACTATGTTGATCAAAATGTGATTTAAACACTTAACATTTCTTCAAATAAATCACATGGGTGGTTGCTGTTGCAACTTACCGTCAGGTGACAAGAAGTCCTTGTCGTAGACTGTGAGGCACAGCACGTCTTGATTCAGATCTCGGACGATAAACTGCATGTTGCAATTCCACTTGGGGTTCAAAGTGTCGGGGATGAACCGTGTGCGATGTTCCTCGCCTCCCATACTCACCTCACAATAAGGATCAGCATGGCCTAAAAGAAAATTACAAACACCACTGAACATGATTGATTGATTAATATCCATTTCAGTTATACAAACTTCATTCAACAAAACATGCTCTACAAAAAGCTATTTGATTGGTTGATCAAATAAGATGATGCATATTCCTACCAGTTACTGAATTTGATGGTTTCAGATCTGCAGCCTCAATGATCACAACAAGCAAGCGTCCAATACCTTTACTTCTCATTGATCGGGCTGAAAGACAATTCAAGGTAGAAATAACGTTAGACATGAACACAATGAATGAGTTGCCTTATCAGGATTGCAATATTACATACTCAATTACTATCCAAATGACTCTCCATTCAATTTAGTATGAGACAAATATATCTACCAACATTTTGAGAGATAATGTTTTGCCATACAGTACCTGACATGTTAACATACAGAATGCTCAGTATGGTTCCAAATACTACTTGAAAAAAAAAAACCTTGCAAGTGATTTGGGTGAGAATCGAACCCATGACCTCCAGATAACTAGACTGGTATGTTACCTACTGGACCACCATGCTTGCGAGGGTACTTCAAAAAAGATTACTGAAAGCTCACTTTGACTGTAGCACTGCTTTGATTATTAGAATAAATATAGGCTAGCCATGGATGAACAACTGCTGTATATTAATTCCCTGATGAGCTAAATATGACTGATTGTAATCTAGAAGAAATATCACACCCAATAGTTGACTTCAGGAACCAAAAAAATGGGATTCAACCAATTTTATCTTAGGATGGAAAAATAATACGTGGGTTATTCTATTTTTCTATATTTTAAGCTATCTAGATATTGACAACCCATACCTAGCAGACCTGTGGGTCATTGGTAGAAACAGGTATATATATGTTTTATTCTTAATATTAATTAAAATACGCTATCTTACCTCTCTGGGCCTTCTCTCGCTTCTTCTTTTCCGTCTCAATGGAGTATTTTGAAGCATTTTCAATTTGAGTAATCCATTTATTTCTGTATTCATAAAAAATAATATATATAATGTTACCTTCTGATTTCACATACAAGATAGGTGTTCAAAGGGAATACTGTATCCTCTCAATAAACCAAAATTAGCTACTAAGTGGTTTGTAATTTTTGATAGCACATATACAAATGAGGTTTTTACAACAAGTTGTTCTTGTAGTTTATATTTTATCACCTTGACTTTTGCATAATCTTGCTAACACCTTTAACTGATCTTTTCCTTTCTCTTCTCATTAACACCTGTGAAACTGACCTTTTTCATTTCCATAAACACCTAGCAATTGATCTATGCTTATTTTTAAACCAGATGTGCAATTAAATCTTGCCTATTCCCATTTTCATGTGGTGGCAAACATATCATAATGCAGGGTAAAAAACATAGCATAATTCACCAGTGGCAGTGCTACGTGGGGGAGGGGGTAGCCGTCGGGAAGGCGCTGCCATGCCACCCCCCCTCCCCACAATTCGTCGGGAAGAAAAAAAAAATTCCAAAAAATTATATGTATTTTGTACATATTAATAGACTCCAAAATCGATTAAAGAAGACTTTGAACCCCCAAAATTGTCATATTTTCGGGGAGGGGGGGTATCGTCCCATAGACATTTCATACCCTGCACATTCCAAAACCTGACATGCCTTGGATATGAAATATCTGTGGCAGAGTAATGAAATATTTGGGTTACGAAAAGTCCAGGTTACAAAATGTTGACACCTTGTAACAGACTGTTACATAATTTAGTAACAAACCCTTTTCTTAAACGCTTGTAAACTCACCTGAGTTTTTCTGTGTCTGTCTTGAGGGCATACACTTTCTCAACATGTGTTAGATTAAACACACACTCATCCTGTACATCTGATGGCACCTTCACAGAAACTTCGCTCAAAAATAAAGGCTGTGGTAGAAAAAAAAAAGGCTGTGGTAGGAAAAAAAAAAAAAAAAAAATTTGTAAGACAATGATCTTTTGTTTGGCACAATTTCAAATTAACATTTGATACTGCAGTGGTTTTTATTAGAATTATAGTTAACAAAAACTATTTTAATTTATGTATTTTCCCAGTGGTTTTCAAGATATTGTGGGTATGGGCAGTTGAGACTGTAAGGAGTCTAAAATGCCCATCCCTCTTGTTCAGCATTGGAGCCAGACTGTGTAATGCTAAGAAAACTGCTACTCTTCCTCAGCATCCCAGCTTAAGCCTGTACCCATTTATACTCCTGGGTAGAGAGACAAACAAAGATAAAACTACATGTCTTGCCTAAGGACACAAGCATCTTGCACAGGAAGGGCTCAAACCCTTGACCATGATGTTGAAAGTCTGAGCCTCAAACACTTCCATTATGAAAGTGATATTGATAATGATGATTTAATAATGACCATCATTTCATTGTGCTTGGCATTTACATAAAATACGAAATACTGTACAATAAAATGTCATACAGAAATCATTTACAGCAAAAGAGAATAAAACATAGGCATGGATGATGATATAAATATAAGATACAGTAATGGTCAATTATGATGAAGCTGTAATGATAAACAATAGGTAATAGCAACAGCGTCTCACCTGCCTATACATTTTATACATCATGTCCGGTTTGTTGTCGCTAAATGAGAATAGAAGGCCAGGACGCACTGGCTGAGTCAACAACAAGAAGTCATTGAACAAAAATGCATACAATTCCTTGTTGCTTTTTACCTGGTAAAACAAAACAAATTCTTTGAGCAAATCTGATCCAATCTGGTCATTTATAAAGCGCGTTTCTTCGCAGATATGAAGTGCTGCACCCTCAAGCAACTAGCTAACAATTCACAGACAATCTTTATATAATGCCCAATCCAAGCTCAGCACAAGTGAACAAGTAAAAAAACATCAGTGGCAAAGTTCAGAATAATAAATAAATAATGCAACAATAAATAAAATAAAAAGGAAGAAAGAATGAAGACTTGTAATTCCGATGCGAGTTTGCGTCAGGAAAATATCATAGGAGTGATTTTTGCCCTACCTGACGCGTTATCGTACTAAATATTACATCCCCAAACACTAGCGAAAAAAAGGAGGTCGTGAGTTTGATTAATTCCCACCCGAATCACTCGCGAATTTTTTTTACTAGTATTTGGAGTATTTGGTACGGTAACACGTCAGGTAGGGCAAAACATCACTCCTAAGACTGTAATTGATATATATTTCTACAGCTCGGAAAAAAAAAAATCTTTTAACATGGCCCTGAACTCTAGAATGCTTTTTTTCAAATTCAATTACAAATATTAAGTGTGTATACTTAAATCAATCCTGCAGTAAAAATGTTTTTCTTTTGCTGTCACAGCCACTTATGTTATCCATTAACTTCAGTATGTTTATACATTAGTGTTGTATTGACTGTTTTTGTCTATCAATTCTTAAAACTTTCATTGGCTATTTATTGTAGTAATCATATCATTGTATATTTTGCATTGAAGAATATAAATAAATACAATAAAACAGAGACACAAAACTAAAGCTGTGAGGCAGCATTGAGAAAATTGAATAGAATAAAATAACAGATAAACTGCACATAAAATTAGGCTAGGAGTATCACAATTAATATTTATGCTATGTACAGGAAGGAATATGTTTTACAGCTTATCTACTATCTGGCATCACCACCTGATCTTTCTTGTAATCGAATGAATGCTGTTTTGTGATAAACATGTTAATATGATTACCTTGTGTAACATACTGGAATGAAGGAACTTCCTAGGACCCAAGCAGTTGGTTAGTGAATTGAAGACAAGTTCCTAGAAAAAAAAAACGAAAAAAAAAACAAGAATATTTACTGGGATTTAATCTCACTATGATGAATATATTATGTTTTAGAACAATCATATACTAATTTGATTGATCAATTATGCAGGTTTAACTTGCGAGCTGAAATTTGCAGATTTTTTACAAACTGTAAATTTGGTCAACAATTTCATTGCTGCTATCATCCATTGTGTTTGCACAATCTTTTGGAAGATGTTAAACACGTTCGCTGCCAGCGACGAGTA